ATAATAATAATAATAATAATAATAATAATAATAATAATAATAATAATAATAATAATAATAATGATTGGAAATAAAAAAAAATCTGCTTATAATGACAGTTTATATTTTTAACAAATTATTTGATTACATTCGTAGAAATGATACAGTTAAGTGGTAAATTATTTAATCTTGAATTTACGAAAGTTCTTTGAAATGACAGTCGAAGTGGCCAAGTGTTTGTCCTGTTGTTGCACGTTTATTTCCTATTTTGTTCCCGAGGTACAGGAATGCCGTTCTACCAGAAATCAAATCCAGAATATAAATACATACATAAAGAAATGTACAATTTAAAATGAAATGTAGCTTGCAGTAAACCCCCTCCCATCACAAATTTCCACGACATTCTTATCAAAACGATTACAAAAATGTTGATCACATTAGAACAACATTAAAAAATAATAGAACTTGTTTGGGGTGTGTTATTTACCAAAGCGGTAATGAATATGAGAGGAAATTCTATTGAACCTGCATATTTTTGACTGTGATAGAGTAGATTTACGCGGTATCTAGATGTCAGTCAGAGGTATTCTACTGACGAAATTATCTACTTAATGAATCTGAAATAACTGAATATTCTAGTAACAAAACCCTATCTAGTAAAATATTAAATTACTTTCTCATAATTACATCACTCCCGCAGAAAAATTGGTCAAATATATGTACACATTTGTCCTAATACCATAAGGTATACTATAAAGTAAGCCAGTTATACTATTTTTTAACAGTTTTAGCTAAGTCGAGAATTTATTTTTGTCGTTTTAAAAATAAATTGTATGCATTATTAACTGCATATCCATTGGAATGTATCAGCGTGAAGCAAATTTGCAAAAGAGATTCACATCGCGTTTATATAAAGTCTAAAAAAAGGAAAGTATCTGAATAAAAAAACGAAACATTAACGTACGAGTGTCTTGAAGTTGAAGTTCCATTGAACTAACCATCAATACACCGTCATAATAAATCAAACTACTTTGTTTTTGCTAAATTATCTGACATATTAACTTACTCAGGCACAGTTACGAGTGCTGAACCGTTATGTTACACTTGTGATGTAAGAGCAAGCCCGAGCAACTTGCAAAACAAAAGTAACTAAAACTTGCTCGAGGAAGTTAACTCAAGAGGAAAATGAAAATGATACCCTTGGGTTCCTCGCCATCAGCGATACGCTATATCTCGTTCTCCGCGTAAAAAGACCTGACATCCACGACCCGTTCGCCGCAACTCGTTCGCTCGGAACCGTTCGCGACCGCTCGTTCGCGCGGAACCGTTCCCGACCGCTCGTTCGCGCAGACCCGTTCAAAATACACGTTGTTCGGGGCGTCCCGCCGTTACGCACCTCGACGACTCGTGCGCGGGATAACAAACGCACGCACAGCTGAACGCGCACAATGATGCCGGCGGGCCGCGCTCCGCCCTGCCCTGCCCTCCCCGCCTTTCCCCACCCACCCTCTCCGCCGACGCGTCGCCGCCCCCAGGCAAAATAATCGCGGAGGAGAAAGTGTAGCGTCCATCGCGAGAGCGGCCAACTCGGCGAATAAGACAGAAATATTACTAGAGGGCAGAGAGTGGCCGTTCGCTCTGCGCTTTCAGCACCAAAGTACACCATTATCTGAATTTCGTAAGGCTCGTCCTATCATTTTTAAAGCCGTAAGCTCTATTATCGCGGAGGTTGAACGTACTTGTTGAGCAGAGAGAAAAGGCGAAAAGAAACCACTTGACTCACTTTCATCTTCAGAATGTGCTATCTTAGATGAAATTTGGAGATGAAAAGTTCTGATATGTTGTTTTCTTCGTAGCACGGGCCATGGCATTGCTGTTATTTTTATGACTGATACCAAAACGCGTTTTAGTTATTTTTCGTTATGGAAATGAAAATCACATTTCTTTATTAGAAAACTACAAACATGTGTAAGGAGGTATTTGCAAAAGTATAGTTTAATTGCCCTCTATTTTGAGTTGGTGAGTAATCTTTGAGAAATAACGCGAATTTAAAGAGAAAATTATATTGTGACTAACATGCTCATTAGAAATTATTTCATTACTTTTTTTTAACCACTCACTCTTTTAGGGTAGAAAGAGACAAAACTAATATCTTGAACAGGCTAATTTTTTGTACTTGTCGATGTTAAAAATAATGCAAGAGGGTTGATAGTTCATCACATTATAATGAAGTGTAGATAAAACCGAATCATAACACTAAACTTAAAAGAAAGACAACTTCCATCTTATTGGACGGAGCACATAATTCGAATAACAGTGCCTTCAATAACGAAGTCAACATTCAAAAAACCCAGGTTTTCATACACTGTCGGTGAAATTAGAGAAAACTGAGGCGAAACTTGTTTATGATGATAACGTAAAATATTGCTATGATAAGTTGTTTACACTCACTTCACAGTACACACAGATCAACACTTAGGACTTCCGCAAGATATTTTAAACTGGAAATCACAACACTCTGTGAATATCTATAGTAAAGAGACAGGGGTTTTACGTATTGCAGAAAACAGTTCACGGATGTTACAATGATGAGTCGATTTTACGCTTCTGAATTGCCGATGCGTGTATTATAAATAATGCGTTAATCCAAGTGTCAACGGTGCACTTTAGGTATTCGTCGGACAATGCATCACTTCAGGACAAGAATTTCTAGAAATAGATACAAACTCTGAGATCGATTTCTAAGAATACGAAATCACACATCATATTGTTTTAAAGTTATTGATTCGTAATTAAATTACTATCGAATAATATAAAAAAATATTCCATTTGGGCTAGTGATGAGATTATTATTCACTTTTGGTCTGATACTTTTCACTGATTGGCTATGTTTGTGGCAACAATCTTCAAGACATTTTACACTTTGAATATTAACGTTACCTTACAAACAAATACGGAAGCATTGAGAAGTAGTACAGCGTTACTTATTTACTAATATTTACTAACATTTTATACAAGAAAAATATAATGTTTTATTATAACTTATAACACCTGCATTTTAGAAACACAGGTATCTTAAATTGGAGCAACTGAACTGTTACACGGGGCTCCTAGACTTCGGTTATAATTTATATTTACAATTTACTAACAAATAACGCAACCTCATTCACTTGCAAACTTTAAATGGAACGTTAGCGTCTTCTGAAAGCTATTTGCTTTGAACTTTGAGAGTACCAGCAAGTCCATTCTCGAGTAAACATCATATTAAGAGAGATAAGTAAATGCAGACGGCACTTAATTAATTTTAATGTACACCATATATGATGTCACTGTTTTACATTCACCAAAATATACAGTTTTGCTTGTAACACACGATACTACAGGGATATGAACAAACGACGGAATTGTTTTAGATGTAACGCCTACGTCGCAAATGTTTAATATTTTCCGAGTGTTCTAAGCACAGGCTTTCTGTCAATAAGTGGAAGAACAGCCAGCGATCAGGTCGGAATTACCATCTCTACCTCTTCCATTACTACGCAGAAGCAGTCCACAGCGCCGCAAGATTTCCGCACACGTCGCCGCGGCGGCGCGAACGCGACCTGTCAGCAGCGCCCGCCCAGCCACTCACCTGCTGCGTGGAGGAGGATCTCAGGCGCGGAAGTCGGCCGGGCAGCGGGCGCCCATCGCCGCACGGCCTCGCCGCCGACACCGACACCGACACCGCCGTCGCCCTCGTCGCCTGCGCTCTCGTCCGATCGCCGCACCGCTCCTGTCTCCGTCTCAGTCGTCGTCGGCGGCGCGTTCGTTCACCTCACCGCACCTCACCTCGTCGCGCCGCGTCGCGTCGCTCGCCACGTGCGCTGCCTTAGACGCTCAACCGGCGCGCGTGCACCTTCGCACTCGCCGCGCGGCGCGGCGAGCCCCGCCACCCCGCCACCGCGCCCCCCGCGCGCCGCCCGCCCGCCCAAGTGGCGCCGCGCCCGCGACCGGAGCGCGACCTACCGGCGCCGGGCAGGGAGCCCACACCCGTCACGGGCCCGCCGCCCTCTCGGGTCACTGCTGCTGCGCTACTTAGCAGCCCGTCTCCCTGAGAAGTGAATGAATGAATAAATTGGAATAATTGAAAATAAAATAATAAAATTGAAAAATTGAATAAATTGCAAAAATTGAATAAATGAATTAAATTGAATACAATTGAATAAATTGAATAAAATTGAATAAATGAATAAATGAATAAATGAAATTAAATTGCTAATAATTCGACACATAAAATGAAACATTGAATCGAATTGAACGAACTTGCAACGAATGAAACGAATTTGAACAATTGAACGAATATTTAAACGATGAACGAAATTGAATCGAATTAACGAATTTGAACAAATAACGAATTGAACGAATTGAACGAATTGAACGAATTGAACGAATTGAACGAATTGAACGAATTGAACAAATTGAACAAGTTGAACAAGTTGAACAAATTGAACAAATTGAACAAATTGAATAAATTGAATAAATTGAATAAATTGAATAAATTGAATAAATTGAATACATTGAATACATTGAATACATTGAACGAATTGATGCCTTATTTTACGTGGCGGGACTCGGGTCATCAGGCCCGCTCTTTCGCCTGATCGCGCAAATTTTGTTATGCTCCTTTCACCAACTAGCGGAGGAAGGAGGTATTTCCTTGGTGACGGAACGGGCGATTTGAATTTAACTCAGAAGTTTGAGGATCTTTCACAAGCAGTAAATCTACTAACGTGAGACAGCCGGCTTTACTTTCCCTCCGAAGGAAGGCGTACGAATGAGACACTGGCGGATATCCGCTGCAAGTGCAAAGAGGCCATACACCCCTCGATTATTTATGTATTATTGTTTTTTAGGCCGACTTGGACCACGCGTTCACCCTGCATTAACCAGTACCTTTATCTCGGTGGCAGGTGCATGTAACTTCATCGGGGGATTTAGATAGATCCGATTTTTATCCCCCACAGTTGCTAGCCCTGGGGGTACGGAAGATGAAATGGTGATGACAGTGAAGGATGAAAGGACGACACACACAGATATATAGAACACAACCATACCCGACGCCCGAGGGACTCGAACCCGTGACCTTCTGGTCCGAGACCGCGACGGATCTATTTCCTTAACGATCTAGGCCATCTGGTCGACAAGTTTGTTATTTATTATTTTTTTGTGTTTTTGTTTGAAATATTTCGCAATTTATTCGAAACAGTTACGTCATATTGAATACATCTCCTTTCAAAGGAGTCCTGTTCTTTGGATCGACATCACGATACAAGCCTTGGCTACTCAACGGAGACTCGGCCTCTCGGCCATGCGATAAGGGGTTCGTGTCGATAGCACGAAGTCATCCCTCCACAGTATATTCTTCATTACCCTAGGGTGGGCTTTCTCATCGTCACACGGCAATAGATACTGGGACATTTGGAAGGAAAAACCGAAGAATAATTTTGTCCCGGCTGGGAATCGAACCCGGGATTCCGCCGTGGAAAGCGCCACCAACGAGTCACCGGGGGCCTTTTCAAAATAACATTATTTCAAAATAACAAGTCCCCTTTTCAAAATAACATTGAGCATTAAACACGAGTACATAGCAATTCAGAAAGAAATTGGCCTTTCAAAAAGTAAACAATTTCCTTCAACAAATTCCTTGTGGGGACAGAAGGGACAACCTGAAAATGTCCGCGCCTTTAAAATACCCTGAACACTGGCACGATATTGCCACAATTGACCGAGTTCACCTAATTTATTTACGCACGTAGGGGATATTTATGTTCCTTTAAGGGAGTTCGATTACCGCTGTTTAGTTCGAGCAACCTCGCGGTCAGATGTCCGATGAAAGTACAAGGTAGGAACAGAGATAACACAAGGGAAAATGAAATTAGTTTACCTTTTACACTCTGTATTGTCATCCTTGCATATCAGAATAGTGTCAAGCATAATTTACTCTCCGAAAACCTCTGAAATCTTAATTATCCGATCCCCCCAAAGGATTGTGAAAGTCAATAAACATCATCTGAGATGAGCGGTAGTCAAACATTTTTTCAAAAATACGTTACAGATGATTTCATATGATACACCCAGAACAACAGTTGATTGTAGTTATGTTTAAATACCATTGAATATAAACGTTATAATGTGGAACAAGACGTTATAATGCTTCATTTTAAGAACCTGTTAAAGTTCCCAGATACACAATAACGATATTTCCGTTGTTATATGACATTAAGAATGTTTGTTTCATCTACCACGTTTTACACAATTCATTTCTTTTAATTTAATTACATCAAATGAGATTAACGAGACAGATTGCGATATTCAACAATGTCCACTGATAGAAATCATTCATTCGGAACCTAATAATATGAGTTACTGAGCATTAAACAGACTCAAAAGAAATTCCCATTGCCAGGGCGGAATAATTCCGTCTCACTATCTGAATAGGAGGCAAGGATTTCAGTGATAGTTTCGTATCTTCGACAAACTTCACAGTGACTCATCAGTACTCTCATCATCTCGAAGCCTTAGCTGTATACTAAATATTGACAGCCTAGAGCAGTATTTAAGCATAAAATTCTTTCCAAAGTAACGATAAGATACACAGTACCAATGACTCCAGAAATATTGTGTTTCAATGCATCTATGCGTACAAGCATATCGATTAATGAGCAAGTTACATTTCAAATAATTTTGCATTTTTATTCTTCAAAGTGAATCGGTGTCATCTGTGTTCCACCTCAGCAACGGAATACAGTAGATATCCGCTTTAACATCCAAGAAAGAATTTCATGAAAACAAACATGTGACTGCCTTACACAAAGAGTTATTTTTCCTAATTCATAGACGACCTTTAAAATGAGTGATCCCGTAAGTCAGCTTATCTTATGATAAATAGCCCTTTAGTGAGCCCTTAAGTAATCACTCATTCCTATAAGGGAGGCTGTCTGCTCCCCTAAGTGACTGTCATTTATTTGTCTCCTCGCCAGTTCAGGTTATGTTCTTACTCTCACTATTTTGTTACAATAAAGATATTTAAATTAATGACTAGCATTATTGTAGAATATTGTATCTTTAGTTATTACTAGTACGGGGAATAATGACACTTTCTCAGACCACTGATTTTCATAATCAACACTTCGTGCGCACCTTCTACGAAAAGAAACATTAGAGACGCAACCAATTAAAACCCACCGTAGTTAATACAATTTGGGTTGCTGATCCAAAAATTCTCAGTAAGAAGAGAAGATACAAATTTCTCAATTATTTAAAGTTCTCTTAGCATTAGTATTCAACTCATTGTATATTTTCACCCTTTCAGTTACGTGTTATACATTTTTAACTTCTGTCACTACTTATGACAAATTTATAATTTGAATTATTGAATAAGCAATAACTTTAGCAATTAGAATTATTGTACGGAATTAATTGTAATGGGGAACGTGTGCATTTATCTGAAATTCTGTAAATAATTAACGACCACATTATTCGTACCATTAATATAACAGCATTATTTCACGCTTACAAATCGAAAATGTTATCTTTGGTGTTAAATATTAAATACATAATTACATTGATGTGGAGTCCGTGCAACGTAACTGCGAGGCTCACGCAGCGGCAGCAGAAGCCGATGTGGACGGTATTTTACGAAAAATATCTGTCGTGTAAATTCGGTAGCCAAGAAATTAACTGGCGAAATAACCGGCGCAGATGCCAGGTTGTCACGTTTTCAATCACATAAGGAAACCTCGCTTCGGAATCGTAAGGAACGTCTATGAAATACGAGTGTCTGTAACTGGCGGCTAGTAAGTGGAAAGAAGTGGTAAAAGTTCACTCATTATTTAGGAGAATCGAATTTCTTTAAGATGACTCTGAATGGGATTTACTGTGTTTGGTCTAACAGCCAATATTGCGGATTCATTACAAAGTTAATGAGAAATTGTTCGAAAATAATCCTTAGATTCATGAAAAGAAGATTTGAAGAAAGAATCCATTAAATTCATGAACAAGTGGAAAATACATTGTAAGGCATTTGATTAAAACATATTTACTGCAACTTCACATTATTAATCACACTATAAAAAATAAATATCCTTCTAACAATACGGTTACATTTTCTACACGATGGTACAAGACATTTAATTGCATTTTACTTCGAAATATTCTTCATCTATTTAATTAGTAATGTGAACAATATATTCTTTAATTACACGCTGACGACGAATTTAGGTAATAAGTATGTGTTATTAATCACAAAAAAGGAATGTATGTCGTATTGTCTCACTTATATCTCGAATGAAAAATAATATTTTGTGTTTTCTGTTAAGTACAAATCTAATGTCATTTAAATCAATGACCGACATGCGTTCCAACCATGAATCACTGCCAAAGGTTGTCTTAATCCGGTTAAGCCGTCGGTCACGCCAGCGGTGGCGAGCGCCGCCAAATGGCCAGGCCGCGCATTCCGAATCCACGAGGGGCACACCCATTGCGTGCCGGCGACCGAAATGCAGGGACACCCCAGGCCCAGTCGTGACTTAGCTGTCTGCCTCCTCTCCGAGTTACGACTACGTGGCGGACGACTGTATGTCTGGCTTCGAATCTTATGATTCGAGAGACGGAATCCCATTCTCAGTAGCCATAGTTTGACTTGAAGTTATTTATAGGGCGAATCAAATTGTTAGATAGGAAGAGCACTTATGTGAGGGAGCTTCATATTCCTGATGGGAAGGCACTGTTACTAATCCTCAGCAATTCCCGACGTAGTCGCCCTCGTCGTCAAAATATGCGTGACTTAGCTGTCTGCCTCCTCTCTGAGTTACGACTACGTGGCGGACGACTGTATATCTGGCTACGAATCTTGTGATTCGAGAGTCGGAATCCCTTTCTCAGTAGCCATAGTTTGACTTGAAGTTATTTATAGGCCGGATCAAATTGTTTGGTAGGAAGAGCACTTATGTGAGGGAGCTTCTTATTCCTGATGGAAAGGCACGGTTTCTAATCCTCAGCAATTCCCAACGTAGTCGCCCTCCTCGTCAAAATATTTGTTTTATAATCGGC